GGATCCGAACCCTTGGCGGGAGCGCCACCGTGCTTCCCAAGCGGCGCACTGTAGCAGTGCGCCACCGGGCCGGCCCAATAACATCACCTTCTAACCAGCTGCACTAACCCGCCAGCCCAATGGCTGATTCTTAAAGGACGCAGATGGATTTGCTGGGTGATGTGAAACACACCTGGCTGAGGAAACAGCATGAATAGACGGCCCAGAGAGCTCGATCTGTTTGAGGAAGCAAAAGACCTTCAGGGTGCCTGTGATATCAATTTTGAGAGTTTGGAAGGGGAAGTAAGAATTGAAACCAGAGTGTAACAGGCAGAAGCCGGGTTGTGGTTATTCAGTGCTTAGGGGGTTGGACTTTCTCAGAGGGTAACGGGAGAGCCATGGAAGGTTTAAGCCAGAGAGTGAAATATGAATGGTTCTTTAGAAAGTCATCTCACAAGGGAGGTATCCTACCTTTGTGGGGTGACTTTGGAAAGCAATGTGACATCACCTAACATAGTCAAAATGTATATTCTCTGGAGCCATATAGTTCCACTCCTGGATATCCACCTAAAACTTAGCTCATGTGTTCCAGGAGACACACATGAGAATGTTCAGAGCTGCCTTATTTATTGTAGTGAAAAATGGGAGACTGTCACAAAGTCCCTCAGCAAGAGAATGCAAAAGTAAACTGTGGGATGACTGAACACTGGAATACTATGCAGCCAATAAAAAGGAATTTAACCAAAGTTACACATATCATCCTGTATGAAACTTTAAAACCTATTGTAGCATGAAAAAGCATATTGCAGATGGATACCTACAGTATAATACCACACATTTACAGTTGATAACATTCAAGACTAGATCATAGAGGATATTTCAATGAGAAACACTAGTTTAGGAGTATGGTTACCTCTTTGCAGAAGAAAGAAAAAGGATGTAGGCAAGGGCTTCAATTGCACTTGTCAAGTTTTATTTATCTGGTGGCTGGTGTGTAGGTGATCATAAATTATTTTGAAGGAACTATTTTAGGAAAAAGATTTTTTTGAGGCCGGCCCATGGCTCACTTGGTAGAGTGCGGTGCTGATAACACCAAGGCCACGGGTTCGGATCCTATATAGGGATGGCCGGTTTGCTCACTGGCTGAGCGTGGTGCTGACAACACCAAGCCAAGGGTTGAGATCCCCTTACCGGTCATCTTTTTAAAAAAAAAAAAATAAAAAAATAAATAAGAAGAAGCAGAACATGTTTGAGTAACTAAACAAAATAAGGGTGCTAGAGCACAGAAATCAAGAAAGATCATGGAGCAGGGTGTGGCTGGAGAAACAGCAAGACCAGAATAAAAGGGACTTTACAGGCCATATTTGGGTTTTTGCCCTCTAGCATGAGAATAATGGGAAACTGCTGACGATTTTTTTTTTTTTTTTAAAGATGACCGGTAAGGGGATCTCAACCCTTGGCTTGGTGTTGTCAGCACCACGCTCAGCCAGTGAGCAAACCGGCCATCCCTATATTGGGCAGAAGAGGGACAGGTTTGGGGACCATGGATGAGATATTTTTGGAACAAGGCACATCTAAAGGGGCCTGTGATGTCTATGGAGAGACCATGGGAGGTGGGTGGATATTGGGGGTGTTTGGGGGGCTGGAGTTTAGGGAGATAACTGCTGGAGTTTAGCCAACAGTTTGTGGAGTTGTATTAGTCAGTCTAGGGTAGGTTTTGCTGCAGTAACAAGCAATTCCCCAAATCTTACTAACTTAAGACAATTGAGGTTTACCTAAAATTGAATTTAGGTCGGATGGTTCACCTTAATCTTATAGCTTTGCAACTTTGCACAAGGAGCCTCTGACATCCCTGGGACAGGGAAAATGGCAAGAAGTTTTATCTCCAGGCTCAGAAACAGTGCTCATTGCTTCTGCCCACATCCCATTGGCCAGAAACCAGTCCAGTGGCCTCCATCCTAGCTGCAAGGGATGCTGGGAAATGTAGTCCTCCTGTGAGGCTGCAGCATGGTTAACATATTGCATTGTCCTCTGCCTACAAGCAATGTGAGACTGCCGCTGTATGCAGGGGAGGTGGCCCAGGGAGGGTGTGTGAAGGGCAACAGTGGGTCTGGGGGTCCTCAGGGCTGATGGCAGCAGAGGATGGGACTCCTGACATTCTTTCCTTCCTGGTCCAGGTATCACTCCACCCTGTGTCAATCTCTTTGCCCTCTTTGATGCCCAGGCCCAAGTGTGGCTGCCCCCAAACCACATCTTAGAGGTGTCTGGAGACCCAAGCCTGATGCTGTATTTCCGCATGAGGTGGGTGAAGGCCCATTGGAGGGCTTGTCCCCTTTTGTTCTGGAGCCGGTCTGAGTCTGTGCTAAGTCCCAGCTGCTCCCCCTCTCTTCCTGAAGGTTTTATTTCCGGAACTGGCATGGCATGAATCCTCAGGAGCCGGCTGTGTACCGCTGTGGACCCCCAGGGTCTGAGGCTTCCTCAGAACAGGCAGAGCATGGGGTGCAACTCCTGGACCCAGCTTCCTTTGAGTACCTCTTTGAGCAGGTATGAGCAGGGCTGGAGAGGCAGTACTATTTGTGGGGGACTTAGAGTCAGTTCAGGAGCCCCCACTTCCCTCCCAGTCCAATATAGTTAATAGGTTTTAACTTATTCCCTCTGGAATCTTTTGGCTTCCTGACCCAAAACAGTTTGGGTTGAATGGGAAAGAGTGCTGTGATTGATTAGTGATGTCTGGCACAGACACAGGATCGGACAGAGGAGACATGTATGTTGTGGATTTGGCCTTTTCAGAAAATTGTGGTCTCTCCCCTCCCCAGGGTAGCTAGAAGCAAGGAACTAGTGTTTTCTAGCTGGAGAGCAAACACATTTTCACGCCTCCCTCTCTGCTGATTCCCCATCCCTAGGGCAAGCATGAGTTTGTGAACGATGTGGCATCATTGTGGGAGCTATCAAGTGAAGAGGAGATCCACCACTTTAAGAATGAGAGCCTGGGCATGGCCTTTCTGCACCTCTGCCAACTTGCTCTCCGCCACAATGTCCCCCTGGAGCAGGTGGCCAAGGAGACCAGGTATCTGGGAATGGGGTCAGGACACTGTGTAGGTGGGAGGGAAATAGAGTTTGCATATTGCCATGTTTTCATTCATTCAACACATTTATTGAGCATCTATTGCATGCTGGCACCAGTTTTAGGTGTCGAGGACACAACAGTGAATGAGGCAGACAAAACTCCCCACCCTCTTGGAGCTCACATCTCTTGAAGGAGTCAGGCAGTAAACAAATATGAAAGGGAAATGTACAATATTTTAGATGGTGTTAAGTGCAATGAGGAAAAATTAAGCAGAAAAGGGAGATAGGGAGTATCAGGGGGTGATGGGTTTACAATTTTAAATAGTCAGGGAATTCCTCACTGAGAAGGTGACATTCAAGCAAGGAGTTGAAGGAGGGAACCCATTCTATACAGAGGTAACAGCCAGTGCAAAGGTCCTGAAGCCAGATCATGAACCAAAGGCTCTTGTATCAAATAGGAAATAATGCTGTGATTGATTAGTGATGTCTGCCACAGACATAGGATCAGGAGAGGAGATCTGTGTCCTGTGTTTGTTGAGGAAGTTGGAAGAACTATGGCTGGAGCAGGGTGAGCCAGGGGGAGTGAGAAGAGGTTGGAGCAGGGAGGTGGGGACATGGCAGATCCTCAGAGCCCACTGACCTTGAGAACTCACTAGAATTCAAGGGGAGGAAGGAGGCAGGAGTCTGGGGAGCCAACTCTGCTCACCACCACCACCAGAGCCATGGTGGATCACTGCATTGCAGTGACGGCTGGGGCAATCAGAGCGCCCTGCTTGGGGGAGGCAGCACAAGAGTTGGGTCTTTCAGGACTGGCCATTCTTCTCAAAGTACATATCTGCCAATCCCTATCATTTTATCACTCTGAAAGACTGGAACTGTGACAGCAAAGCCAAGGGCCCTGGGGAGCCCAGAGAAGGCACCCTATCCAGACTGGAGATCAGAGAGTGCTTCTCAGGGGAGGTGACTGCTCTGATGACACCTGAAATTGAGGTGACTTTACCCAGTTGCAGACTACACTGGCAACACATTCTAGGCAGAGGGAACAGCATATACAAAGGCCCAGAGACAGAGGTGGCAAAAACCTGTTTCCAGGGAGACCTAATGCAGAATGTGGTCACAGGTGCAGGAGTCAGTCAGCCACTTGTCAGGGAGCCTTTTTCCTGAGGGCACTGGGGAGATCTGGAAAGCTTGGAAGTGGGGGCAGGAGGTAGCTAGAACTTTGAGCTTTAGGATCCCTCTGGTCAAGGGATAGGGGAGAGAGGCTTGGGAAGTAGAGACCAAAGTGCAGAAACCTGCAGTCTAGGTCCGCCATACTGGTGGTCAGGTGCAGGCTGGTGATGGAAAGAAGGGGACAGATTTGGAAGAATGAGGGGGTGGGACTTGGGGAGGAGCAGTGGGGCTTTCCAGAGCTGGGCTCTTTAGTGGTCATCTTAAAATTCATGATACAAACAGCAGCGACTTCTCCCATCATCATAACACCTGACATTCACAAGGTCCGTATTGAGGACCCATGAGTAGTCCAAGCACATTGCAGGTAAGAATTCACTTAACTCTCTCTTTGGTCAGCCTTACAGGTGGCTGCTATTTGTCCCCGTTTCACAGATGAAGCTTTTTTTTTTTTTTCCTTTTTGTCTTTTTTCGTGTCCGGCAACAGATCGCAACCCTCGGTGCTGCACCCGCACCTCGCTCAGCCAGTGAGCGGGAACCGGTCTATATGTGGGATCCGAACCCTCGGCGGGAGTGCCGCCGCACTCCCAAGCGGCGCACTGTAGCAGTGCGCCACCGGGCTGGCCCTCACAGATGAAGCTTTAAGGAAACAGCCCTTTAAAGCTTAAGGAAGTTGCCTGAGAAGATTTCAGCCCATAGTCTCCTCCAGAGGTCCCAGATCCCCATACCACCTGCTTCCCTGGGATGGCCCTTTATCATATCTTAATTTCTACCTTCACGACAGGGTGCCTTTTTCTTTTCTTTTGGTGTCTGGCCAGTGTGGGGATCCAAACCCTTGACCTCGGTGTCACATACCATGCTCTAACCAACTAAGCTAACCGGCCAGCCCAGGGTGCCTATTTTCTAGATGAAGCCACTGAGGCTCAGAGAGGTTAAGCCACTTGCCCCATGTCACCCAGCCAGGTGGTGGGTGTCCCCCAGGCCCCTGACCGGCTCCTCCACATGGTTCCCACAGCTTCAAGGACTGCATCCCGCGCTCCTTCCGACAGCAGATCCAGCAGCATAACGCGCTGACGCGGCTGCGCCTGCAGAATGTCTTCCGCAGGTTCCTGCGGGCCTTCCAGCCGGGCTGCCTCTCCCAGCAGGTCGTCATGGTCAAGTACCTGGCCACACTGGAGCGGCTGGCACCCCGCTTCTGCGCAGAGCGTGTGCCTGTGTGCCACCTGGAGCTGCGGGCCCAGGCCGAGGGGGAGCCCTGCTACATCCGGGACAGTGGGCAGGCCCCTCCAGCCCCCAGCCCCGAGGCTGCTGTGGGCCCCTCCACCCACGAGGTGCTAGTGACAGGCACTGGTGGCATTCAGTGGCGGGCAGTGAAGGCAGAGGTGAGCAGGATGCTTCTGCCACTGTGGGGGTCCAGGTAGCACTGGGGCGGGGCTGTCTTCTTATCCTTGGCCTTGGGCTCCTGAGGGTGGCTGTGGTTTCCCCACATGGCTCCGGGGGTGTCTGTCCCCTGGGGTCTGTTTCTTGGAGAGTTTTCTCTGTCTACCCCTTGGGGACCTGATTTCTGGAGTCTGCCCCTTTGGAGAATCCTTTTATCTGTCATTGGGGGACTTGGCATCAGGGGTTGAGTGAGCCAGAATTCTCCCTGCCCTCCCTGAGGTTCTGGTTTCTGACATGCGTATCTCGTGGGTGGGGGTCCCATTCCACCTGTAACACTGGGACTTCTGGGGGGGGCTACCTGAGGAGGTGCCTGGCCCCTCTGGCCCCCATCTCTGCCTTGGGAGAATGTGCAACAGGGATAAACACACGTTGTCCTGCTCCATCCTCTGCCACGCTTGCTCTACCTGAGGAGGTGCCTGGCCCCTCTGGCCCCCATCTCTGCCCTGGGAGAATGTGCAACAGGGATAAACACACGTTGTCCTGCTCCATCCTCTGCCACGCTTGCTGGGGTTTCCAGGGTTCCAGTGCTGGCAGCGGCACCAGCAGGAGTCCTCAAGCCACCCTATCTGGGAAGAAAGCCAAGGCACATGAGGCAAGCGACCAGCCAGCGGACAGGCCACAGGAGCCGCCATGGGCCTACTTCTGTGACTTCCAGGACATCACCCACATGGTGCTGAAAGAGTGCCACGTCAGCGTCCACCGGCAGGACAACAAGTGCCTGGTGGGGCCTGGGGCTGGGGGCCGGGCAAGGGGGGTGGGCAGTGCTGGCCTGTGATGCCTGCTTGACACATGTCCTGCTGGCCCACAGGAGCTGAGCCTGCCCTCCCGGGCTACAGCCCTGTCCTTCGTGGCGCTGGTGGATGGCTATTTCCGCCTGACGGCTGACTCCAGCCACTACCTGTGCCACGAGGTGGCCCCCCCGCGGCTGGTGATGAGCATCCAGGAGGGTATCCACGGGCCCCTGCTGTGAGTGGGGGCTGGGGGACAGGGACGGCCGCCACTGTGGCTGCCAGTGAGACTGAGCTCCAGGGACCAGGGGTGTGTACGTGCATGTGTGTGTGTGTGTCTTAGCGTGTGCGTGCATCTGCATCAGTATGTGCTTATGTTAGTGCCTGTGTGCGTACGTGTGTGTGTGTGAGTGCGTGCAAACGTGTGCACCCACGTCTTCAGGTTAGTGTGTGCATACACGTTTGCCCGTGTGTGTGTGTGTGTGTGTGTGTGTGCGCGAGCACACACGTGCACGTGTGTATGCATGGGAGCATGCACACACACCAGGAGACTTCAAAAAGTTCATGGGAAGGTTGGTGTAATTTGAGAGCTGCCCATGCCATCATAAGAGTGCTGTGTTTGACCCGTCATCATGTATGTCTGGAGGTATAACTGCCCATTTGTCATGAGGCTGTGTCACTGTTCTAGTGACTGTTTGAGATTGTCCTCGTGCGGAACGGGTGATTTTTGTGGGACTGTGTTGCAGCAGCAGCAGTGGCCACTTGGGCACACTGGGTCCTTCCACCTCTTCAGGTGTGTGTCTGTGCTGCTGATTTGTGGGTCACCATCTGAACAATTCTGGTTGTAACTTCTGGGGCTAAGAATGTGATGTTTGTACCTCTGTGGTCACCAAGTGCAGACGTGTGTGTGGCTGTCCTGCATGCTGCCAGGTCATGATTTGTGACTGTCTGCTTCTCTGGTCACTGGCCCTGTATCTGGCTGTCCCTTATCCTACCTGTGACACTGGGACTCTGTACCTGGGAGTGTCTCCAGAGGTGTGACCTCTCATAGCCTCATCTCTACACCAGGGGAGGGTGAAGTGGCTATCGTCATGAGGCTTGTGGCTGCCATGTGGCTAGGTGTGCCACCACCGGGACAGGTGTCTGCAGGCCATGTCTGTGTGGCAGCCACTGCGTGTGCAGCTGCTGGGCCTGTATGACTGTGACACTTCGTAGTGTTGGTTTGCGCTTGTGATGTTTTTCACCTCTGGGTGTGGGACGTCAAGGCCTCCATGTCCCCATGTTACACTGGTAATTATCAGCACCACACTGTAACCAACCAAGGAACCAGCTAGCCCCAACACTGGGTAATTAAATGTACATATGATCATTGTCCTTTGGGTGTGTGACAGACTGTCTATCTTGTGTCACCCTGTGAGGGGCTATTGGCTGGGTATGTACCAGTATTTGATGGCTATTTTATGTCTCAGTGTGTGTCCCCTAGTCAGCAGCTGTGTCTGATGTTGTTATACACAAGTGCGTGCTTGTGTTTCCATGTGAGTGGCCGTGTGTGTGTGTGTCCAGACTCAGTGTCACCATGTGAGCAGCCGTGTCTGACAGCTGCATGTGTGCCCCACTGGGCAGGTCTTGTGTGTCATTGTTGCCAGACTTGGGTCCAGCAGTGGCCCTAGCTGGCCTGATAGAGCCCCTTGTCCCCCCCACCCCCAGGGAGCCATTTGTGCGGGCCAAGCTGCAGCTGGAGGAGGGTCTCTTTCTCATCCACTGGAGCACCAGCCACCTCTACCGCCTCATCCTCACGGTGGCCCAGCGTGATCAGGTGGGCCCAGGGTGGGGGTCCCAGGCTGGGGTTGGGCATGCTCCTTCTGGACCCCCGTTCATCGCCCACCCGTGTCCCCCACCCCAGGCCCCCAGCGCATGCAGCTGGCGCCTGCGCAAGTTCCCCATCACGCAGCAGGCGGGGGCCTTCGTGCTGGAGGGCTGGGGCCGGGCCTTTGCCAGCGTGCACGAGCTGCGGGCCGCCTTGCAGGGCTGCTCCCTGCGGGCCGGGGACGACTGCTTCTCCCTGCGCCGCTGCTGCCTGCCACGGCCAGGAGGTACAAGGCCAGGGGCCACACGGTGGGGGTGGCATCTGTCCCCCATGCCAGCCCTCAGTGATTTGGCTCCTGCCCCCAGAGATCTCCAACCTCATTGTCATGCGGGGGCCTCGGGCCAGCACCAGGCCACTGAACCTCAACCAGCTCAGCTTCCACCGCATCCGCCAGGAGGAGATCACCCAGGTGAGTGGGGGGGGGAGGTGCAGGGCCACTAGGGACATGGGGCTGGGGCTCTAGGGAGGTCAGCTGCCAGCGGTGTTCGGTACAATGTCCCCGCAGCTGTCCCACCTGGGCCAAGGCACACGGACCAATGTGTACAAGGGCCTCCTGCGAGTGGGAGGCCCCCAGGAAGGCAAAGTGGATGGTGAGGAAGCTGACAGAAGCCTTGGCCAGGACCTGAGAGTGGTGCTCAAAGTGCTGGACTCCAGTCACCACAACATCGCCCTGGTGAGTGAGCACATCGACTTCCAGGCATGGCTGCGGGGGTGGGGGCAAGGGTGGGGTCTGAGGGGTCGGGTTTGCAGCCCCCTGACCTGCCTGGTCCCCACAGGCCTTCTATGAGACAGCCAGCCTCATGAGCCAGGTCTCCCACGTGCACCTGGCCTTTGTGCATGGCGTCTGCGTGCGCGGCTCTGACAGTGAGTGGGCCCCGCTCCACCCACCCCCATTTGCAGGCCGATACCCACTCCCTGGGTTGTACCCTGACCCTCGACCTACAGACTCCTGACTATCCCCCCCATGACTACTCGACTCTCATCTGTGCCCTGACCTGAACTATACCTTGACCTTCAACCTATATCCCAATTCCTGAATATAAACGAATCCTCAGCTTACATCCCAGCCCCTGACTACACCTTGACCTTCCCCTACACCCTGACCCTTGAATTACACTCTGATTCCCACTACATCCCAATCTCCATTTACCAACCAACACACATCTTCCACAACCCAGCCCCCATCCACCCTCAGACCCCATCGGCACTATGGCCCCAGGCAGACCCTGGTCCTGTTGTCTCGATCCTCCCAAACCTCAGCCCCTATGCATCCAACCCTGCTTTGAGCCTCCACCACCTCTACCCCTACTCTGTGGCGACCTCAAAACTCCTCATACAGGAACACCCTGGACCCACCAGCACCTCCGTTCCATATGTGTATGCATCTCTCCTGCTGTCCCACAATGCTGGTCTGCTCCCCAGCCCTGCAACCCCCAGACCCCCTAACTCCAACTATTCTGGCATCTTTTCTTTTTCTTTTTTTGGCATCTGGCCAGTATGGGGATCTGAACCCTTGACCTTGGTGTTATTAACTTTGTGCTCTCACCAACTGTGCTAACCGGCCAGCCCAACTCTATTATCCTAACATCGCTCATACCCCAAACTCAAGCTCCACACCTCCACTCGTCTACACCCATCCCCGGTTCTCCACTTTCTGTGATCACCTTTGTCAATTGACCTTTAGCCTCATCTGTGCCCCGCCTGGGTCCATGCGCCACCAGCTGCTTCTGCCTCACCCTGCACCCCCCTTACCCTGTGCCCTGTCCCACATTTCTCCTCTCCCTAAACTCACTCCCAGACCAGACCAAACCCCACCTATGACACCTTCCCCACGTCCAGCCCCCCAGCCCCCTGGCCCCCTAGAGGGTGGAAGGTGGGCAGGCGGCCCCTGGAGAGGCTGGGTCTTTGCAGACATCATGGTGACGGAGTATGTGGAACATGGGCCCCTGGACGTGTGGCTGCGGCGACAGCGGGGCCATTTGCCTATGGCCTGGAAGGTGACAGTGGCCCAGCAGCTGGCCAGTGCCCTCAGCTACCTGGTACGTGGCCTGTAGGTGGGGCTGGATTCAATGAGGGAGGGCCAGAGTGGCCTTAGCTTTGGGGTGGGAGACCTTGACACATCACGCAGAGGTCTATGAACCTCTGCTCTTACACCGTAACTGCTCCGCCTGGGGTCCAAGGCCCTCGTGCTTGCCCTTGGCCTCCTCTGACACTCTCTTGCCGTTCATCCCCCAACCCCTCCTGGTCCAGTCACTGAAGCTTCCAGAGCTAGCCCCTTCAGCTACCCATCCCATGTTTACTGAGCACCTCTGTGTGCGAGGCCCTGTCCTAGACCCTGGAGACTCAACAGAGAACAAAACAGACAAATGCATGTCGTCAGGGAACTGGCATTTTAGTTGGGAGGGACAAACAAGGAACAAAAATTAAGTACAAGACAATATATTTCAAAGCAGTAAGAACTATGGGAAAAAAGCAGGGTGGAGATAAGGGGTTGCTACAGTTTGGGGAAGAGGTGAAGTTTTAAACGGGTGGGGCTGCGGACAGCCTCACTGAAGAAGGTAAGTGAAGGAGGGAGGTATGAGGGCGTCTGGGAAGAACATTCCAGACAGAGGGAACAGCCTGTGCAAAGGCCTTCGGGAAGCAACATGCCTGGCATGCATTTGAGGACAGCATTGGGGTCCTCTGGCCTTTTGTCCCATGCCAAGAGCCTTGGCTACCAGCTCTTGGAGAAAGGAAGGACCCACTCAGCTCCCAGTGCTGCCTGGTCATGCCAACAGTATTTTGGTATCCCAATATTGGCCATGATCGTCTTCTTCACATTGGCTGTCCCTCTGAGGGCCCTATGGGAAGGGGGTGTGGGGATGGGCTCTATGCCCCTCCCCAGTGGCCACTCCCCCTCTCTTCCCCACCCCACTGCACCCCAGGAGGACAAGAACTTGGTTCATGGTAACGTGTGTGGCCGGAACATCCTGCTGGCGCGGCTGGGGCAGGCTGAGGGCACTAGCCCCTTCATCAAGCTGAGTGACCCGGGCGTGGGCCTGGGTGCCCTCTCCAGGGAGGGTGAGTACCTGAGCAGGGCTGGGCATGGGGCAAGGGGGCCTCCTGTACTCCTCCCACCCTTGGTGACCTCTGATCTTGGCCCCCAGAGCGAGTGGAGCGGATCCCCTGGATAGCCCCTGAGTGCCTGCCCAGCGGGGCCAACAGCCTGAGCACGGCCGCTGACAAGTGGGGCTTTGGTGCCACCCTCCTGGAGATCTGCTTTAATGGGGAGGTCCCCCTGCAGGGCCACAGCCCCTCCCAGGTATGTCCAGGGATCTCCTGAGTCCTCCCCACTAAGGGCCTCTACCTCGGAGGAGCCTAGGGGCAGATTCATAGTCCAAAGTTGCCTTCCTTCTGCGGGGTGGCCTCACATCCACTGCTTCATCTTTCTGGACCTCCATTAGGTTGTCTGTCACTTGGGGTTAATCATAGTTCCAACCTTCCAAGGTCCTTGTGGAAATCTGTAGTGTCTGCTGCACAGAAAGCAAGTAAGGGACATGCTTCAGTTTTAGGCAGAGCAACCAGGGCTGTGATGGGAGGGGGTGTCCAGAGGTCACTCCTGACCCAGCTGAGGGGTTGGGCAAGGCTTCTCAGAGGAGGTTTTATCTCAGTGCAGGATTATGCCAGTGAGCCAGGCTAGGAAGGGCAGCCTAGGCAGAGAGCAAAGCCTGTGCAAAGGCCCAAAGGCTTTGGTGCATTCAGGAGCTGCAGTCTACAGGAGTTCCCTGGAGGTGGAGAGATGAGGGGCAGAGAGCAGAGGTGGTGGAAGCCAGGGCAGGAAGGACTGAGTGACATGCTGCAGCTCGGCAGAGTCAGCTGGACCTGGGCCCAGCCCTGGCTCTGTGGCCATGTGCAGGTCCTTTATGCTTTGCCCAACCTCTGTTGTCTCATCTGTGAAATGGGTATGACAAGAGCAGGCATTTGGCTGGTCCAGCCCTCCTGCTCAGGGAGCTTGACTCTGCCTAACAGGGTAGGGGTTAGGGTATGCTGACTCCTATGGGTCCCCTCCTCCACAGAAAGAGCGTTTCTACCAGAAGCAGCACCAGCTGCCCGAGCCCTCATGTCCAGAGCTGGCCACGCTCACCAGCCAGTGCTTGACCTATGACCCCATCCAGCGGCCATCATTCCGCACTATTCTTCGCGACCTCACTCAGCTGCAGCCCCACAGTGAGCCCCATCCCAGTGCTGGGACCCTGGGGAAGGGGCCCGGGGCTGGGATCCCTGCTGATGCGGCACGGTGCACGCAAGGTCTCTGTGTGGTGGCTCAGGGTGTGTGCAGGTTCTAATTCACTTAAGGGCGCCTGGCTGCACCGAGCTCTCCTTAACATTTTGCTTGGGGACAGGCGCAACTTCTTTGAACGAATTAGACCCTCGCAGTTTTTTTCTTTTCTTTCTTAAAATGTTTGTGTCCTCCACCCCATCTCAGAACATGCTAGGTGTTAGTTTTGATGCAGCAGACTCTGCATTTTGGATAGGAAGTGGAATTTTCCAGCTGTTGCCAAAAAAAAAGTCCCCTTACGGGCCGGCCCGTGGCTCACTCGGTAGAGTGCGGTGCTGATAACACCAAGGCCCCGGGTTCGGATCCTATATAGGGATGGCCGGTTTGCTCACTGGCTGAGCGTGGTGTTGACAACACCAAGTCAAGGGTTGAGATCCCCTTACCGGTCATCTTTTAAAAAAAAAAGTCCCCTTACCTCTGGGATAGGATGCAGGGGAAGCAGGGGCCCGCTTTGTGACCCCCAAGTGTGAACCTGCTGGGGAGGGGACCGGGGTCAGGCCTCACCCACTGTGGTTCTTCCAGAACTCGTTGATGTCTTGGCCGTGAACCCGAACTCACCGGCGTCAGACTCCAAGGTTTTCCACAAGCGCTATTTGAAAAAGATCCGGGATCTGGGCGAGGTGAGGGCGGGGCGTGGGCTGCTAGAATAGCCCACCTGGTGGGGGATGGGTTTGGGGATTAAGGAAAAGTGTGTGGTCTGGCCTAGAAGACCCTCTGCTTTGAGAGAGGCCCTGGGGAATTAGAAGGGGGCCTAGGCCCCAAGAAGACCCATCAACACTGCATAGGTGTTGCCTAGGGCTTTTCAGACGGATCTGCCCGGAGGTGCGTCTGAGAACTCGAGGGTAGGGCTGACCCTCCGCCCGCTCTGGCCAGGGTCACTTCGGCAAAGTCAGTTTGTACTGCTACGACCCGACCAATGACGGCACTGGCGAGATGGTGGCCGTGAAAGCCCTCAAGGCGGGCAGCGGCCCCCAGCTCTGCTACGGCTGGAGGCGGGAGATCGATATCCTGCGCACGCTCGACCACGAGCACATCGTCAAGTACAAGGGCTGCTGCGAGGACCAAGGTGGGCGGGGCGGGGCCTAGAGGCATGGGGGCGGGGTTAGAGTGTGGGCGTGGCTTGGGGCGGGGCCAGCCTGCCTGACCAATCAGAGCCTCTCAACCCCAGACTGGAGGACGCGGTTGGTAAACCCCAGGGCTGGTGGGCCCAGCTGCCTCCTCCCCGCCAGGGGGCGCTGTCTGCTGGGGCCAGGCTGGACTGGAGCCACCCACAGCTCCCTCGCTTGGGGAGGGGGTTCAGGATAGGGTGCGCGGGTCTTGGCCTTCCCTCCCCACCTTGGAGGAGTCTCTGCAGAGCTCCGGGTGGGTGGCCCCCGGCCCCTCCCTCTACCGCCCCCCTGGGCCACCCTTCTTCTCCGCAGGCGAGAAATCGGTGCAGCTGGTCATGGAGTACGTGCCCCTGGGCAGCCTCCGAGACTACCTTCCCCGGCACAGCGTCGGACTGGCCCAGCTGCTACTTTTCGCCCAGCAGATCTGCGAGGTGGGCTAGGCCCGCGCCTGCTTCCAGAACCTGCTCTCCCTAGCCTGCCCTGAGTGATCCCATCCCAGCAGCTCACCCGCCCCGCTCTTACCCATTTGGCAACAGGCTCTGCTCCTTTTGCTTGACCCCGCCTGCTATCCTGCCCGCTATTGTGGCTGGGTCCCCGCAGGCCTGACCTGCCTGTCTAGAAGCCGTCCTGGTCACTGCTCCTCAGGCCCTGCCAAGACCTCTGCTCCTGATCTTGACTTGCCCTGCCCCGCCCCCAGGGCATGGCCTATCTACACGCTCAGCACTACATCCACCGAGACCTAGCTGCGCGCAACGTGCTGCTGGACAACGACAGGCTGGTCAAGATCGGGGACTTTGGCCTAGCCAAGGCTGTGCCCGAAGGCCACGAGTACTACTGCGTGCGCGAGGATGGGGACAGCCCCGTATTCTGGTGACCAGGCGTGGTGCAGTCTGAGGGGGGTGCCAGGGTCACTTGGGGCAGGCTGGGTGGAGACCGATACTGAGTCTCAGTTGACAGGGCCTGGTCCCAGTGAAACTAGGCAGGGCCTAGAGGTGTAAAGGGCAGGGCCAGCCTGGCCAATTAGAACCTCACCCTTCTTTAAGGAAGGGTTCCAACTGGGGCCAGAGATGTCCTTCAGTCCCAGGTGAAGGATGCAGCCTAGTCTGACACCCCCCCAACCCTGAGTCCAGTCCGCAAGCCAGAGTGTCGCCTCCCCCCAGGTATGCCCCAGAATGCCTGAAGGAGTGTAAGTTCTACTACGCATCTGACGTCTGGTCTTTCGGGGTCACCCTGTATGAATTGCTGACGCACTGTGACTCCAGCCAGAGCCCCCCATCGGTAAGAGCCAGGCCTGTACCCCAAGCCAGAGTTTACCAGAGGAGTTAGAAAGGCATGCATTCAGATTGCAGCTCCCCAGGCTAGCAAAGCACTTAACCTCCCTGAGCCTCACAGTCCTGATCTGTAAAATGGGCCACGTACAGTGGCAGAGGCTTTGATTGTGACAGAAACCCCACTCAAATAGATGCAACAAAATAGGAACTGTTTATTCCACTATTTGCAAACTCCACGGGGGTGGGACAGGGGCACAGCTTGATGGGCTCTCAAATGTCATCAGGAATCCATTTTCTCCATCTCTAAGTTCTACTGTTTTCTGTGGTAGCCTCTTTCAAGCAGATCTCCCTCTGTTGTGATAACAGTGCCCCCCAGCCCTCCAGGCACCCATCCCCAAGGCTGAGGGGACCACGGGTCCTTCTCTTTCTAGCATATTTTGTGGCGACTTTCTCTCATTAGCCCAGCTAAGCTCATGTATCCGCCTGGTAGCCAATGACTGTGTAGTAGTCAGGAGCCACAGGGATTGGCCAGGTGTAGTCTGGGGGAGGAGCCAAGACTGTGTTGGGAGATTATGTCCAAGGGCTATCAGGGTGCCTTTCTAGGAAGAAAAAAATTCTGGACAAGTAAAAACAAATTGCAATAAGAATTAGTAATAATAGCAAACACCCACTCACTTACTCTATGAATATTTGTTTATCCAACTTCCGCAGTGACATCAGGTGGTAAATGTTATCACCCCATTTTACAGATGAGAAAACTGAGGCCTAAAGAGGTGAAGTCATAAGTCCAAAGTGATACAGCTGAGAAGTGTAGAGGTGGGATTAGAATCCATGCAATCAAAGACTGGCTAGTTAGCTCACTTGGTTAGAGCATGGTGCTGATAACACCAAGGTTGGGGGTTTAAAGCCCCTTACCGGCCAGCTTCAACAAAAACAACAAAAAAGGGCCAGCCCGTAGCTCACTTGGGAGAGCGTGGTGCTGACAACACCAGGTCAAGGGTTAAGATCCCCTTACCGGTCATCTTTAAAAAAAAAAAAACAAAAAAAACTGCTGATGGGGTCTACCTCCACCCAGTCTTCACTGCCTCTTGAGAAGAGCTTTTCTTGTTTCTACCATAGAAATTCATCGAGCTCATAGGCCCCACCCAGGGGCAGATGACCATACCGAGACTCATTGAGCTGCTGGATCAAGGGGAGAGGCTGCCACAGCCTGACAAATGTCCCTATGAGGTGAGTCTCCTGCCCCCACCATCAAGCCATGGAGAGAGCAGCAACTACAGCCTGGGTTTTTCCTTCTTAGGTCTATCTTCTCATGAAGAACTGCTGGGAAACAGAGGCCTCGTTCCGCCCGACCTTCCAGAACCTCATACCCATCTTCAAGACAGTCCACGAGAAATACCAAGGCCAGGCTCCTTCGGTGTTTAGCGTGTGCTGAAGCACAATAGCTGTTCTGCTTAGGGGGATTGGACCAGGCAGCACCTACAGGGAGAGCCTCCTCTTCCCCTCCCCCCTGTGCCTTACTCCTGTGTGGAGACCCCACCTCTGTGAACTGACTTTCTTTCCATGGCCATGAGCCTGACCACGACCCTGAAGGAGTCAATATGGGCAGGGGGCTAATCAGACCCTTGAATCCCATCCTTTTGTCTTCCGCCAGCTCCCAAACTTGAAACCCACCATTCCCACTAGCTGGTAATAAATTCATCTTTCTTCTCCTGGAGGCTGTGGTCCTTGGAACCCATCTTCAGCAAGGTGGGTCAGCTGGGGTCTGCTCTCCTGGGGACTGCAGCTAGAGCGAGACACTGCAGAAGTAGCTGGATTCACCTACTAAACTGTCCTCACATCTAAACCACCAGCTAGACCACTGCCTGGCACACAGAAGGCTCTTAATGGCTACTTATTAAATGTACAGAGTATCTAGGGCTGGGGGGCATGCAACACATAGATAAAACTTAGCCAGTTTCACCTGTTCCTTTTTTTAAAAAAATTTTTGGTAGCTGGTTGGTACAGGGATCCAAACCCTGGACCTTGGTGTTGTAACACCACATTCTAACCAACTGAGCTAACCAGCCAGCCCTTACCCTTTCCTTCCTGTGTGACCTCAGGCAAATAGCTTCACCTCTCTGGGCTTTAGTTCTCAACCATGGAGAGGGTCTTGCTTGCTACCTCATAGGACAAATGTAAAGAGCTGACGAGGTGGTGCATGTAACATTCTTAGCAGCGAGACATGCAAGCAAGTGCTTAATAAACCTGCAATCTTTTTGTCTTCCTGATGTTTGCCAAAGTGTTTCTACTTCACAGATGTGACTTGAGGTAGATTATGGAGTCAGACACATTTGTGGAAGTCAGTTAAATAATTTCCTTCCCCATCAAAGCCTTCTAAAGACTACGTGTTGCAGTTCTCCTGATCAATTCCACACTATACTAATGACAATTGTTTTTAATATTTTTCAAAATTAAATGTTCTTTATAATTTAAAAATCTTTTGGGGGGGATAGGTAATAGTGACATGGTTCGAAATTCAAAAACATGTAAGAGTAGGCAGTGACATGTCTCTTTTTTTTTTTTTTTTTCCCTTTTTGTCTTTTTTACTGACCAGTAACGGGATCGCAACCCTCGGTGTCACGCCCGTACCGGGGACCGGCAACGGGATCGCAACCCTCAGTGTTGCGCCCGCACCGCACTCAGCCAGTGAGCGGGAACCGGTCTCCACATGGGATCCGAACCCTCGGCGGGAGTGCCACCGCGCTTCCCAAGCGGCGCACTATAGCAGTGCGCCACCGGGCCGGCCCCTCCTTATCAATATTCTTTTTTTTTTTTTTTTTTTTTTTTT